AGAAGTGCATTAATGTACATAGTTACCATTCAATAAAAAAAAAAAAAAGATTTTAACTTTTGCTGAGTGCAGTGACTCACACCTGTAATCCCAGTACTTGGGGAGGCCAAGGCAGGTGGGCAGATTGCTTGAGTTCAGGCATTAGAAACCAGCCTGAGCAAGAGACAGACCTCCCTCTCTAAAAATAGCCAGGTGCTGTGGCTCGTACCTGTAGTTCCAGCTACTTGGGAGGCTTAGTTAGGCAAGAGGACTGCTAGAGCCTAAGAGTTTGACATTCCTGTGAGCATAACGCCCCACAGTCAACCCCAGGGCAACTGAGTAAGACTCTGTCTCAAAAAAAAAAAAAATAAAGATTTTAACTTTTATTATAGACACATCCAGAAGCACTAGCTTAACACATCTAGTAACATATATTACATCTCTACTACTACAGTACCTAGTAGTGTTCTCAAAAAATGTTCTCTGCAAGCTTAAAATGGTGTCTACAATTAAAGTTTACTACACACTCAAAGAAAAGCTTAGATAATATCCACTGTTCTATTTTTCAATGTATTTAGCTAAAGAGCAGAAGAAAAAAAAATCACAGAACACACTTATCTAAAAGGATTAACATACAAGATCCTAACTTATCTAAATATTTTAATAAAAAGTTAACTATAGAACAATTTAGTGTGAAACAATGAGTCAGAGGCAACCAAGACTACCATTTGTACAAAATAAAAGCACTTTAGTTTATGGCTCGGCGCCTGTAGCTCAGCAGCTAGGGTGCCAGCCACATACACCAGGGTTGGTGGGTTTGAATCCCGCCTGGGCCTGCCAAACAACAATCACAACTACTACAAAAAAATAGCTGGGCATTGTGGTGGGTGCCTGTAGTCCCAGCTACTTGGGAGGCTGAGGCAAGAGAATCTCTTAAACACAAGAGTTTGAGGTTGCTGTGAGCAGTGACAGCACAGCATTCTACTGAGGGTGACATAGTGAGACTGTCTCAAAAAAAAAAAAGCCCTTTAGTTTAAAAGGCTAAACTATGTTATGACTTCAAAACAAAAACGTAAATAAAAATAAAATACACAGCTTTCCTTTTTTTCCCTTCCTTCTTTTTATTTGACTTAAACAGACTGAGAAAACACAACCTTATGGCAAACAGTTTAAACTTAAAGAACACTGTTAGAAAGTGAAGGCTGAGGAAAATGATCTTGTAAAAACTATCAAATAATTTTTTTTGAGGGTGTCTCACTTTCTTGCCCAGGTAGAGTGCCCTGGAATCATAGCTCACAGAAACCTCAAACTCTTGGGCTCAAGTGATCTTCTTGCCTTAGTCTCCCAAGTAGCTGGGGACTACAGGCACCGGCCAGAATGGTGGGCTATTTTTAGAGACTGGGTCTGTTCTTGCTCAGGCTGGTCTGGAACTCCTGAGCTCAGGTGATTCACCTGCATTGGCCTCCCAGAGTGCTAGGATTAAGGGGTTAGCCACAGAGCCCAGCTCCATCAGATAATTTTAAATGATAGGTGCAATCTTCTTGTACAACAAAAAGCACAGTACTTTCTTTTCCTACATTACAAAATGTTGCCATCAAGTAACTATAAGAGAGGATAAATATACTGTGTGATCCAAAAAGTATCTGATAACTAGGGGCAAAAAGGCAGGGCTGAGAACTCTGTAAAATACAACTTTTTTAACATTGACACTTGGAAACCAGAGTTTATACGAGTAATTTCAGCTGGGGATTGGAAATCATGGAGAAAGGCCTAAGGAATCAAAATGTTAACAAATTTACTATAAAAGTATTCTTGGGCAAAGACATGTTATGTTAAGCAAGGAGTTAACTGCTGTTCATAACACCCATTTAAACATTCTCTTACTTGGTTTGGAAGAGAAAAATAATTGATAAATCTATCAAAACATTTTAGTAAGCACAAATGGGGAACTAGGTAGAAAGAGGAACCATTATGAAATGTATGACTAAGTGTGTTGTGTGCAAGACTAGTGGAAGTTTTCAAAGTTTTTTTGGTTTCTGGCTACATGAAAAAGTAAAAATGAGGGCGTTTTCATTCCAGTAAAACACTGCCTGGTATTTATGCCAGTTATTTTCACCTTACAGTCTTAACACACATTCCAAGACTGATTCGATTTTCATTATTCTCTTCCGGTAACTGGAAGAGAAGGGAAAAGTAAAGCTTTACATTAAATAGCCCGCTTAGTAATTGAGAAAATTCAGCAGCGGAACTTATCATAAGGCACCAAAGAAGAGATTTACCGGGGAGAGCAGACAAAAGAGAAAACAGCCACTGAATATAAGCCACAGAGGAGATGAGAATCGGTCTCATGTGTAACTTGACGACTGGACAAAATCTCGCTCAACACTGCTGGTGGAAACTAGGTGCCTGAGAATCAGGCCGTTCTCGGCTCCTCTGCTCCCTGGAGTCCACCCTCGGACAGGAAGTCGGCGCAAGTTTGAGTGCGTTGCCAAGGGAAGGCTCCCGGGGTTCCATCTACCACACAACAAACTCCGAGGCACCTTCCAGTGCTTCACAGCCCTACGGGAAGCTCGCTCTAGCGTTTACTTCACGGCCTCCCAAAGTCGTGCACCCCGACCTCAACTACCCTCGTTCTAGAGAGAGACACAGAGAGAGAAAGAGAGAGAGAGCCTGCGAGATAAAGTGGCAGCTGTTGGGGCGGCCCCTTAACGCTCCAGGGTCTTAAAGGACCCTTAAAGGAGCGGCGCGGGTGAGGACTGAGACCAGCGGCTCTAAGACGTTCATTACCTTCTCGCGCTGGTCCCAGCTGTACTGTTTGGGCTGCTCCTCGTTGTTCTCTGCCCGCGAGTCCTTCTGAGCCTTCCGCTTCTTGGAGAAGAAGCAGCCCATGGTCCCGGCCCGTGGGTCTTACTGACCGGCCCACTAGCTCAGGCACCTCCTGGAGTGTGGGTGAACCCTGGGCACCCCGTCCCCGCAGATCTCTCGGCACCGCCCGGTGGAACCACCCGGCCGCCCGCAGCCTGAGTTAGCCCGCCAGGCCCAGCACCCCTTCTCCTTTCCCTTCAGTCGCCCTGACAACCCACCCTAGCCAATGACCGCTCAGCGCCTGTTGAGTCAATCAAAGCCTCATCAGCAGTCAAGTGGCGGCTTATGAGGAGAGGCCAACGTAGTCACACACCAATCCACGCCCGGTTCCTGCGTCAGCCCTTAGCCGCCGAGCAGGCCGGCTCTAGCCAATACAAGGCTGGCTCCGCCCCTAGCCCTGCCCCGTACCGCCTCCCACCCCGCCCCCCCCAGGACTCGGAAGGGCTCCTTTGGAGGGGCGCCAGGCTTCATCGGGTCTTTTAGCCTCTGTTCTGCTTCCACATTCTAAGCTCGGGGTAGCGGGGAGACCTAGTGGAACTTCAGACTTATTTTATGATGCAGGTCTAGAGGGAACAAGAATTACTGCTGACACAGGAAGGCCCTAAAATTCATATTCCTAATTCTTCTTCTTCCCTCCTAACCCCTCCGACCACCCCCACATCTCCTGGCTTGTCACCCAGTCAGGAATCTTCCTCCACAACCTGCCGGACCCTCTTCTGAGTTTTCTTAAGACTTCCACATATCTAGGCCCTGCGCGGTGGCTCACGCTTGTAATCCTAGCACTCTGGGAGGCCAAGGCAGGTAGATTGCCTGAGCTTACAGGTTGGAGACCCGCCTGAGCAAGAGCGAGACCCCGGCTCTAAAAATAGCTGAGCTTATAGCGGGTACCTTTAGTCCCAGCTACTTGGGAGGCTGAAGCAAGAGAATCGCTTGAGCCCAAGAGTTTGAGGTTGCTGTGAGCTATGACGCTACAGCACTCTACCCAGGGCAACAAAGTGAGACTGT